GCTATGGTTGTGTGTGTAATATTACAATGCATTTCAGCAAAGGGATAGAGTCCTAGCTAATTACAAAGCTAACATATAATAGTATTGCATTAGCAGCCCAAGAAATTCCTATTGAATTGCATAAATCTGAAAACAGAAAGACATGCTTGTGCTGAAACTTAATTATCTTGGCAAAAACTGTGAGGGCCAGATTCTCAGAAGACAAACACAAAGCTCTGCTTTACACTCCTGAGGATCTAATTCTTTGTTTATTCAGATAACCTCCATCAGATAAAACTTACCATTTGTATTGACTAATTTGCCTTATTATTTACGGTATCTACAGTTAAGTAACACAATTACTGCTCGGTTTCCGAGTAGGAAAAAGAATACTGCTGATCTACAAATACAAGGTCTGAAAGAGACAATCGGCATGCTCTGCCAGGTTAAAAATGTTAGTGCTGTTGCATTCCACCCCAGGCAAAGAAGACAAGCCTTTTTCAAGGATAGTTCTGACTGAAATTCTTTTTTATGAGTTCAAAGTAAAACATTATGGTAAAAAAATGAATACAGCTTTGTTTGTTTCTTCAGTCATCGTTAGCAATAGACATAAAGGTATTCTGTTTTTAAGCCCATATGGAAAGATCATCAACACTTTCTGCTTCTGGGTCCTTTGCCAAAATACCATATCCCACATGCCTTTTACCTTAAAACATAAAAGAAAAGGTGTTGTTCTGGTCAAATAAAGAAATATTTTTTACTAGCATACGTCTAATGTTAAAGCTGCCTAAATCCTGCCAAAGACATTAAAACACCATCTGCAAAACAGATTTTCATTAAATTGATCAGTTTAAAGTTAAGCAGCTAGGCAGATGATGCTTTTGAGCTAACCTTTAACCTTTAACCTTCTTAAACTGAAATCAGGTCACTCCTTTTGGGCAATATCTTTGCCATTGGAGAACAAGAGAGGTAAAGTGATCTATCCAAATTGAACTGACAATCATAACATTAATAGTGTTATGCATCAATATTTTGTCAATAGAGAGAAAACCAAGGTAGTTTTCACACAGCTGAGTATTACTCTGCTAACTGCTGCCTGTCACTTTCCCTGAGCTCCTAAATTGCACATATGATGCAATTCACAGTAAATATCCAATATTAAATTAATGTCTTTTAAAGCTATCAGATAAATAAATAGTAATTTTATAGACTAATTTTAAATATTTATTTGTGATTAGGAATTGATTGTGTCATTCAGTTACTCTGTTAAATAAAACTTCTTTTCAGCCACTCCAGTTTACTTTGCAAAAAGGCTACCTAGTTTTTATTGATTTATTAAAAATATTTGGAAACTACTTTATGAGCACAGGACATGATATATGCAGTTCCTCGAATCAAAAGCTATATGAGTAAGCTACAAAATGGCTTCCTAAAGAGCAGTTTCAGCTATATGTACTGTATATCCATAGGGATAGATCACTGTCCTGCCTTAGCTTCCCAAATCTGCAGGGGTTGAATGCTTCCTCCTGCAGCATGGAAATGCACTCTGTTGCTATAGAGGCTTTCTCTGTTTACTTGTGGAGTCACTGAATGCTTTTTGATGGATGCTGCAAAGGACTTGCAACTCTTCTGTGGTTTAATTTGCTAATATCGAGCTCCACAAATCCAAATGTAAGTCTTTGGGAAATTCATTTAGGACAAGCCAAGTTCACTCAGGGTAAGGCCATCTTTGTTCTGGCAGCTGCGTTACCACCACTATCTGAATACTCCACTTCTGTAAGGAGCAATCAGGCCATTTCTTTTTTAAATAACTTAGAAAACAGCTAAAGGTTTCACTTTGCACATTTAGAATCTAAGTCTAAAAGTGACATTTCAGTACTGCCTAAAATTATACAGCCTCAGAAGAGAAGCTCTGATGTTCATGGTCGCTTTAAAAGCTACATTTATGAAAAGACATCCTTTTATTCTATCAATAGTTAAGCACAGGTAGAGAAATCAAGCTGTTATGGCAACATTTATAAAAAGAAAATTCGCAAAACAATAACATTTAAATAAATATAAATGACTAAAGAAAAAACTTTGAGGTACTTGACAAAGCAAAGGAACAAAGTCACAGATTCTTTTTCTGTGCTTTCACATGGTTTTAGTATTAAAGTTTTTATTGCCAAACCATATTCACAGCACCTTAATTTTAAAAGAGTTAGAGGAGCTGCTTGAATATAAACACAATTCATGAATATTCGATATCGTTCCCAAGGTATATATCTATTATTCATACAAATTAATGTTTTTTCCTTAGGTGCTCTAAAAGTTTATCTGATGTATCAAGAGGAAAAAAGTTTACAACTTTCTTCGTGTCAACAGTTTCACCAAGACCTGACAAAATTATCAAGTCTGTGAGCAGATCTTTACAGACTTTCAAAATCTGATTTATTTCCACCTTGAGGACTGACTATACCCCCACAATTTAAAGTAAAGTTTTCTGGGTGATGTACAGAGGCATTACATTCTGTTAAAAAGCATACATATCGAGAACATTTTGGTTATTCAGCAGATGTTGTAGTACTGCCAACAACAATCCTCAAAAAATAATAATAATAATACCCTAATTGATATTTTAAATAAATTATTCGTCACCTTCAAATTAGCCTTAAAATAAGATTATATAGAGGTACTGTGTGCATGTGTACATGCTCTTTGCTTTCTGAGAGCTGTTAAGCTTAGCAGGGTTCAAATTATCAAGCTTCTCTAAGAAGTCATGAGGGACAGAAACTTTTCCAAAAACATGAGATTACCACTAGCAATGCTAGGGACAAGTATGTACACACGTATCAGGAGACTTTCAACCATATGGTTACCAGCAGTACACTTTCAATTGTCCTTCCGTAGGCCACGAAGCTTAGAGGCTGTCTAAGAGGTTATGCATTCCTTCTCCACTGGGATGTTATTCACCCTAACTGATTCAGAGACTGAAGTTAAAAGGTTGGCAATGGTCATTTGCCATGCATGAGAACTACACCACATTATGTGCTAGGGAATTGCTCAACCTAACAAACCAGGATCTGGCAAAGAAAGCAGGTTCAGCA